TCTTTAACAGATATTGAAAAGGCTTTTACTCTCAAATTGTGGTGGAAATGGAAGACATAGGATTCTCTATGGGCCCAGCTTATGATAACTAAATATGATAGGAATGGAAACATGTTACCTAAGATCACAGACTCTGATGTCTGGAGAAGAACTTGTTCAGCCAATTACCAAGCTTCTGAATTGTGTTATATTGACCCATAAGGTAGAATCATTTGGAATGAAGAAACTGATGGTCAATTTACATTTAAATCTGCATTTGAGGAGGTAAGGGAACTATCTTTTAGTTCTTACATCTTCCAACAAATATGGGCCACAAAGCAAGAGCTTAAGATTAAATTGCTGCAGTGGAAAATCATCAAAGGGATACTGCCTACACCAGACAATTTAAGCATAATTAAGATAGTTGTCAATCCATCAATGTGCCCTCTTTGTAGAAGACACGGTGATAAAATGAAGAATTTGACAATTTTTTTTAGTATTATTGGAATTCTTCAAACTCCTAGGATGGATTATGGGAGTTTTCGCTATTGGAGGACTGAGGATGGAGAAAAAAGCTGGGTTTCCATAGTTAAACAAAACCTCCCTGAAATAATTTGTCGAATTATTTGGAAAATCTATTCTAACCAAATTCGGGGATCTGGAGGAAGGGTTCCTAATTCAGATACCATCATCCTCCAAATTAAGATGTATGTACAAAATTGGGTAGTAATCTTAACTACTTCTAAGCTTCGGTTCATAGGAGAGATGCTATTTGAAGAGGGACTAATACCTAGAATTTCCGAATTAAGGGTTTCAAGCTTCAAATTATTCAATGGCACAAGCCGAATAAACTATGGAAATTGAATGTGGATGCGATTTACTTATCCGAGAGGGCCTCCGGAGGAGCGATTTTGCGTGACCAAAATGGTGACTTCGTCTCGGCGATTAGCTTTCCGGTGCCAGCTCAATCACCCGTGGACGCAGAGCTACAGGTGATCTTCCTTGCTGTGAGATAGGTGATCGATGAAGGGTATGTTGGCTTTAAGGTTGAATCAGACTCCGTTTCTGCTCTGGGATATCTAGCGGGCAAAGAAGAAGAAGGTTGACGAATGCAATTTAGGAAATCACACAGGAGGCTTTCACGAAACATGTGAAATTTGGACATATGAAATACGAAGGAAATTCGGTTGCGCATCATTTGGCCCAGGTCCAGAAGGATCGTTTTGAAATTTATTTTGCCAAGGATCAGCTTCCGGTTATTGTTAAAACTTAAAAGGGCTTTTTGGATGGTGTTTTTTGTATACCTTCTTTTAGAATGTAATTATCTTGTGATTTTTTTTTTCGGGTAAGGTTTGACCCCCCGAATTTGCTATGCACTTTGTTTGCATTTCTAATAATATGTGGTAAATGTTCATCGACATTTATGCCACTTATTTTGGTGGTTTATCTACCGGATTTAAAAAAAGTAAAATACAAAGTTGTGTTTAATTTTCCACATCTAATTCAGCAATCTTTCCGTAGAAGGGCTATGCAAGTCAAAGCAATGACATTGACTTTCTACAGCGCGTTTACCGCCTGCTAAAAACAACACAGCGGCCGCGCTTCGGGACACCGCGCAATTTCTCTCCGTCTCTAGATTCTTTCACTTATCCGGATCGAAGCAGGGAAAATGCGGTCTTAAGAAAATCACGTTATACCCGCGCACTTGTTGTATTTATGCACTTTTGGAGATAATTTGCATCTCTGGCACGTTGATTTGATCCAGAGATGTCGAAATCATTGCCGTATTCAATGAAAGATTTGCAGTATGACAACGGAAAGTTCCGGCATCGGTCGGTATCTAAGGTCATGGGTTTGAGCTTCTCTCCTTTGCATTCCCGACTTTCCAAGTTCTCTGGTTTCGCCCAGTGGCGGATCCAGGAAATAAAAGTATTGGGGGCAAAATAGAAATGAAGTACATGAATAAAAAAGATAATATAATACAGAGTACTTGGTATTAATATATATGAATAGCAAAACTCGTTACAAAGTACATGAGAACTTCAAAACTAAATAAAGTACGGAGTATATTACAATATCAACAAACTACTACGTGATAAAGTAAATCACAAATGCTCTTGCTCTATTCGAGTTTTAATCTTTTGAAATATTACAATTTTATTTGTGATTGTCTCAAATAGATCTCTTTCTACAAAATAATAAACTATATGGTCACTCAAAAACTAATCACCGATTCTATAATGCAAATTAGTTTTCACTATTTTAATAGTTGAAAATCATCTCTGATCTCAATAGTTATCGGGGCAACTAGCAAAATCAAAACAAGTTTTAATGAACGTCTACATACCAAAGAATCTCAAAGAAGTTTTCTTGTTTTCACCATCACTTGAGCAAGATCATCAAAACTTCATTCTACCCGGATTTCATTCCTTGATTGGGGTGATATTAAAAAAATCTTACTTTTGCAGGATCTGAAAGAAGCTCATCGAGATCAACTTATTCGGGAATTGAAGTATGTAGTACATTGAGAATCACTATTATACGGAGTAGTATTATACACATTTGTACTTGAACCGTTGAACATCCTAGTAGGCTAGTAGTGATGAGGGTGTTTTAAGGGTTGGTTTGCAACCACTTTTAAAAAAGCACTTCTCAGCTTTTGGCTTTAAAAAAGCACTTATTTTCCCAAACACTACAACTTTTATTTTTCTCGGCTTCCGCGTCAAAAGTGCTTTTACTTTTTCTATTACACAAAAAGCACTTATTTTACCAAACACTACCCACTTTTACTTTTCAAAATCACTTTTTTCTCAAACACAATCAACTTTTATTTAATCACTTCTCCCCATTTCATTAAAAAAAGCACTTTTTTAAAAGCAGAAGCTGTTGCAAACAGACCCTAATTCATTCCAGAATCTATTTATAAATTTGATTAAAAAGTATAATTGATTTTTTGATAACTAATTATTATACGTACTGTTTAATCATTACATATTTTAATCATACTGGTAGCTATTTAAAAATTACGGAGTACATCTTAAACAGTTAGGTAGTTAGCTATCTTATTTCTTAAGTCCTGCTATTTATTAGCTATTTATAACAATTTTTAACATTAGATTTGTTAATTTTTAGCTTACTAAAGTTAAATTGAGATAAAATATACGGAGTATTATTAATTTATAATACTTAAAATGACTATATATACATGCTTGGAGATAAAATCTACGTACCTGACTACACATTAGCACTAACACATACTGACATAAAAATGATCTGAATACAAATTATACAATACTCCAGTCCGTACATCAATTCTTATTTTAGGGATTTAAGCGATTAAACTCCCCTATTAACAAAATTTGAAAAGATAATGGTTTGACATTTGGCCATTGGATAATTTGAGCCGAGTAGGCTGACTCTAGTGTGCAAAAATACTGGCCGGGCCATAGGTATATGAGGGCATATGTTTATTTTTGTTGGGGGCAATCACTTGGATTACATTTTTTTCTAATGACTCATAGGGTAAAATGAAGTATTATTGAGTCTTTGTTGGGGGCAGCTGCCCCCCATAGTTTGACTCTACATCCGCCCCTGGTTTCGCCTTTCTTATGTTGCAAATTGCAATATAGTTTGATTAGTTTCATGGGTTTGAGCTTCTCGGATATCAATTCTTTGTTTCATATGATATGAAAAAGTAGTCTTAAAAGCTTGTAAGCTGAAACAAAATGGAAACCAATAGAGATTATTAATGTATTTTCACAGTTCAAGAGTGTCTAGAATCGAGCCATAAATTGTTCCAGAAAAACTACAACAAATTATTATGATGCATCCTAATAATTTGAGAAACGTCATTTCTATGGAAAAACTTCGGCTACATTCTAGCCATTTAACATTGCTAAAATAAACCATTCATGTCTAATGCCATGATGAAAAGGTCGTTGAGAAAAATGGTCTCTTACCTTCAAAGAACCATTTTAATCTCTTATCAGAAGATATGAATGTTTTTAGCTGTCAACCACAGGCCAATCATGGGAGTATTCACTTTTTTCGATGCTAATAATTGGCCTTTCCACTGACATTAAATTATTAATACTGAAAAATACTTGAACGAAGTTTTTCTTAAGTGGCTAGTTTTGTTTTCAAATTGTACTACTGTTTTCTTGGTTACGTTTGTTGGAAAAATGTGTGAAAAAATTGCATTAAATGGCTATTTTGGGGCAATTTTTTGAGTGGGGTCCACTTCCGATTTGGGTCGGGTCAAAGTGGTTTCGGATTTTCCTTGTTAAAGGCTACAATTCGATATATGATACGCTCAAAACGGATAACGGGTGAATGAGAAATCGCTTTTCGAAGTTTACCCGTTAGAATGGAAAAACTGGGAAAAAGGATGGGTTTCTAGTGCGTTAATTTCCCACACCGGAAAACCCAAGGGATTTGCTACCCTTTATAAAGGGACTCCCCCCTTATGGAGTTAAGATTCTTAACGGTAAAGGCTCTCTCCACGCGCGCAGGGGGTGCAAATCAAATCCCAAATTCGGAGAAGAAAAACCGCGACTTGCGGGCGACCTGCGGACACGAATGTCGTCCAAAAATCTATCTCTTAAGATATACAATTAATTTTTGTTTTCTTCCCGAAACGTTTAATTTTTTCCCAGCGGCAGAAGTGCTCGGACAGAAGCCTACGGATCAGAACACCTCATTGGTGTTCTGATGGCAGAACCCCTCATGGGGTCTTCTGATGGCCGCGGATCAGAGTTGGGGTCTTCTGATTGGCCTCCGATCAGAACCCCTCCCGGGGTGTTCTGATGGAGGTCTTCTGTCGCGCTTCTGAAACGTTACAACAATTAATGTCCAACGTTTATATGTTTTAATGCAGCGTTAAATGGACAGTTCATGGACGATTCAATGCCCAACGGACTGGCCATTGATGTTCAATGTTCAGGTCCATTAATTCACCATTTACACACAACAAATCCTCCTATATAATGGCCGGCAGGTGGTTTGCAACAACACACGTTCTTACACGAATTCATACACGTTTTGCACCTCTAAAAACACACTGCTAGCAATCTGCAAATTCCTTCTGTGTTTGAGTGCTCAAACACTAGTTCGTTGTCATCGTATCCTGGGAAACTATTGTTGCAACGCTCCTATCACTGTGGGAGGCAACAAATACGTTTTAAGGACATCGTGCGTAGCACGAGCTTTGACTAATTCTGCTTCATCTCCTTTCTTGTTTTTCTCTAGTCATTTTATTAATTAATTTATTTTAATTAATTTTCTTTATTTTCCGAAACACACCCAACAATGTTGTGATCATTATTTATTACTCTTCCCTCTTCACCACACCTCTTTGAATTTTCTTTATGTCTACAGGCAATTTCTCAGGCACTCTTAACCAGTAAGGTTAACAGCGATTTTGTAAAGTGCAGCACAGGGAAATTTCTAGGTTTATTATTCATTGGTGGTTTAATATTTCTCATGATGACTCATACCAGTACCCTTCATTCTGTCTCTCACAATATTGCAAATGATAGTAGGTCAACTGAAGTAGGGAACTTCATAGCTGATGGAACAAATAAAGTTAAGCGTCTTTTGAGAAGATCTCCCAGACTCCCCCCTAGGTTATCACCAGATGAAATGGTTTTTGGCAATAAATCTACACACGGTAACCAGAACTCACACACTAGTTCCAAATGGCTATCAAATTAAGCAACAAAGAGTGAAGGATGCATTTATCCATGCATGGTCTGGCTACAAAAATGACGCAAAGGGCTATGATGAGCTTATGCCACTTAGCCACAAGGGAGTTGACGGTTTGGGAGGCTTGGGAGCTACAGTTGTAGATGCTTTAGACACAGCCATGATAATGGGGCTTCACGAGATTGTGCAGGAGGCAGGCTCATGGATTGGAAGTCACCTTCCTGAGAGGGTAAACAACAAAGGACAAGTAAATTTATTTGAAACGACAATACGTGTGCTAGGTGGTCTTCTAAGTGCTTATCACTTAAGTGGTGGGGAGCAAGGGGGAAATCCATTATTAAAGGGGCCTAGATTACCCCTCATTAATGCATTGATGTTTTAAAGGAGAAGAGTAATAGTGGTAAGAGAGCAATTGATTGTCCCTTGGTATCAAAAGAGACTTCTTTTAGAACAATTATTTTCTATAAAGCAGCACTAATTTATAAACAGTAAGACTGTCTTCTCTTTTTACATTCTTATAGTTGCAGGGCTATATTTTACTTGTGAAGGAGCTATAAATTCGTAGTGTGTAGGATTGATCTAAAATTATGTGGTTGTTTAAAACCTAGTTGTAATTTATTGTATTGACCTTGTAACGGCAGCCCTCAATCTGGAGAATTTAGTGGAGACAATATTAGACTTGGATCTCGTGGTGATAGCTACTATGAGTATCTTATAAAGGTGCGGCTTCAACAACGGGGACGTAACTGCTCATACTTATATGATTATGTATATGGAAGCAATGAAGGGTGTTAGACACCTTCTTGTTAGGAAATCTGTTCCAAATGGGTTGGTGTTCGTTGGAGAACTGCCTTATGGGCCACAAGGGGACTTTGTTCCAAAGATGGATCACCTGGTATGTTATTTTCCATTAAACCTTCTGGCTCAACTTTGAAAGCTTAAAGAAAGTCGAAATGGTCAATTGATTAACAGTCTTATGATCTACTTTCATCAATGAGAAGCAAATTTATTGTTATTCTTTCAAGATTTTCCGATTCTATCTCCAGTGGTTTTAAGTATTTACATGTTTATGACTTTTTCAGACCATGTTTACCCATTGGCATTCAAGAAAGGGTAATAAGAAAGTAGTGTGACATGCTTCTTCCATCTTGTGTATTTGTTTAGTTCTTAAAAGTGGTATTTCATGTTTTAGAACGGTTACTTGCCTACAGTTATTAATGCTGTACCAATAAATTCTTTGATATCTATATCTGCATCTCTTCCTTTATGATTTTGAGGGCAAGGTGTGAGAAGTGCCTGCTTCCTAAGAGTGTAAATCATATAGTGATGGTTATTGAGACAGATCTGTTTAATTTATCCATAGCCATTGATTTCCCTCAGAGCCAATACTAATACTATTTCTTATGTCCATCATTCCAGCCATTAGCAAAAGGTGAAAAGGAAAGGCATATTTAGGCCTAAAATAATATGATTTTTGTATACATTTTATTGTTCTGGACTGGGATTGTGTAACTAAAATACGCATTTCTTTATGAGTTTGTTATTCCATGACTGTTCGTGTTTTAGGTTTGTTTTCTTCCTGGCACTCTGGCGATTGGTGCCACAAAAGGTATAACGAAAGAAAAGGCTATGAGGGAGAGCTTGCTCAATTTTGAAGATCTGGAAAATCTCAAGCTTGCAGAAGATCTGGCCAAGACATGTGTTGAGATGTACTCTGTAACTTCCACTGGGCTTGCTCCCGAAATTGCTTATTTCAATGAGGTGAGTTGAATTTGAGGTATTTCCCATAACAAGAAACTATAACTCTAGTGACAGTGTGACACACTTTTACATGAAATTTTTAAGCATTCGACTCTAAAGCATTCGTGATTGAATTATTGTTGAAGAAAAATTCATTTGATTCTCCCTTTTATCTCATTTCTAGTGAAGTCTTGTGGTCTGAAATGTATTATACCAATTTGATGTCAAAATAGTTAGCACATACTCCGTATATTGCATAACCAGTTCTGTTCCCATTTGTATCCTCCCCCTAAAATAATAGTAATAATAATTGTAATAATAATAGTAGTAATATAGTAATAATAATAGAAATAGTAATAATAGTAATAATAATAATAATTCAATAATCCCAGAGCACGTGTAGTAATGCTTTAAAAAGTTTAAAATAGTAATGCTTTACAGATTACAATGGTAATAATTGCTAATATTATTAATTTTAGTGTTCTTAGTTGTAATTGTTATTATTTTTATTATTAATACTATCATTATTATATTCATTCTTGTTATGTTATTAATGTTATTCTTATTATCCTTATCCTAAGCAGGGAAATTCTGGGGGTGGTTCTGATGGTGGAAACAAAAGTTCAAAATATGTGAATGACATAATCATAAAACCGGCTGATCGTCACAATCTCGTGTCCTGAAACTGTTGAATCATTGATGATATTGTATCGCATCACAGAAGATCCCAAGTATGCCTTGTTATTCATTTACATGCTTCTTTGTCTTGTCTAATCTCTTTATTAGAGGGTATGTTTGGATCCCGGAAAATGATAGGGAAAGGAAAAGAAATAGATGGTGCAGAAGTTAAAGGGGCAGCGCAGTGTCCATTGGCGTCCCCGCAAGGAAAGGGTCTGGGGAGGGATCCTGCCACTATAAGGGGCACGCCTTCTCTTGTCATATTGACAAGGGGACGCTCCCAAGACTTGAACCTGTGACTTCTCATTCACACAACAACTCCGTAACCGTTTTATGAATGGTTTTACTCATAAATACTAAAATAAGTATATATCCCACATAAGTTCGTTGTATTCTAGTTTATTTTTTATTTCCCTTGAATTTTCCGGGTTCTAAACGGACCCCGTTGATATTTGCTTATATGGTTGTGCGTCCCGCAAAAAAGTTGATAATTATGTCAAAATGTGTAATCACCTCTGCAGATACCGCGACTGGGGCTGGGAAATATTTGAAGCCTTTGAGAAGTACACAAAACTTGACTCTGGAGGTTACACTTCCCTTGATGATGTCACCATAATTCCACCCCGGAGAAGAGACAAGATGGAAACATTTTTCCTAGGCGAAACCCTAAAATACCTATACTTGCTGTTCGGGGACAGTGATGTTGTCCCCTTGGATCAGTTTGTATTTAACACAGAAGCACATCCCATTCCCATCAAAGGAAATCCCCTATCATGAATTCATGATTCATGAATGGATGGAGTCGTTTTTTTCTTCCTTTGGTGATTAAATATGTATTTTAGTCATACTGATATGTCATATGTGTACTATAGATGTACTATATTTTTGTGCCTTGTAATTGCTGGACTTCTCAAAGGTTAATACTTTTGTACCAAAATTTGAAATGCTAATGTAATTTGATAGATCATCTTCCAAGTAAACAAGGACTCGTTCAAGCCTTTTAAACTTTCGATATGTAAGAGAACACAGAATGGTATAGTTTCGTTGAAGTGCTTAAAAGAAATCTGCATTGTATTATGTATAGCCTCTTTGTTTGGTGGGAGTGAATTTGAAATGTCTTGTATAATCTAAAGATGGTCTTGTCATTGAAAACAGTTAAATATTGATTTGGTTAAATGACTTAAATCATCTCACATTCATTATGCGAGTTTAAGGAATTTTAAGCAAAATGGGTACTGTTGTATAAAAAATTGTCATGCACAGTTGAGCCACTACATATCAAAAGTTTTCTCTATTTTGAAAAGTACTAGTAATATACCCTCGCGATGCACGGGATATATGAATACATGTATAGAATTAAAAAGGCTTATATCAAAGCAGTATACTTATATTAAAACTAAAAATACTTATTTCAAATGATTAGATGTAAAATGGATATTACCTCCGTTCCGCTAAGTTTGGGACAAGAGAAGGTGGCACGGTTATTAATAAAAGTGGGTTTATGTGGTTGATATTGAATTGATAAAGTAAGAATAAAGTAGGAATGATTTAGAACCACACAAACTTTACCAAATAAGGTATGAGACAATCTTAGTGGGACGGGCCGAAATGGTAAAATGGGACAATCATAGCGGGACGGAGGGAGTATAATGGAATTATGGTTTTATTGCTAGAGATTCCAATGGTTACTACAAAGGGCACGCTAGTCATCTTGGTCCCACCAAGGACCTGACTGCCGCCCTTTATGATGCCATTAATTATTTCAGACCTTTTTTCGATGAGAAATACTGCACCATTGGACATACTGAAAAAGTTGCACGCGTATTAGAAGACAATACAACTCCAATCGTTTTGCTTTCAGATCTATTAATGCTGGTGCTAATCGGGTGGCTGAATATATTGCTTTTAATAAAGTTAGAATTAGCCGATCCCAAACGCATTGTAATCAATTTGTCGGCATCCTTAAATATGATGCAGTTAGCTACCCTTATCCCTAAACTTTAATTAGGCTCGGCCTGATTAATTTCTCTTTGTAATCTTTTTTTTTAATAATAATTTGGTAAGGTGTTACCCGGCCCTTACCCCATCCTCGGATGGTTTGCCACCGGTGTCCAAAAAAACAATGGAATTAGGGTTGGACCCGGTTCGGGCCACCCGGCCCGGGAACTGGTCTGGCAAAACAGTGTCAAACAGTGCCAAAAAGTGTTCAAACAGTGTCAAAACAGTAAAATTTACCCCCTGATAAGTTTATTTCCTAAATATGTGTATAGGTCAAATCGGGAACATCTTTGCGGGACGGAGGCCAGGAGTATAATTATACTTTTAGTTTGCTATTTTATACTTCGTACTTAGTATTAAGTAGTTCTAAATCATTTTAACTTTACTTTATAAATTTAATGTCATTCACATAAACTCAATTTTCTTAACAATCGTGTCACCTTCTCTTATCCAATATTTTAATTACTACTCTTGTCACATACACTTTTTTCAAAAAATCATCAAAAATTACCAATGAAACAAATAAATAAATCAAAATCATTGATATACTTTAGCCTTCAAATCGAAAATCAGCTTATTATTTGGATTCTGGATTAATAAAATTACAAATACTAAATAAGCTACTTAGTGTTACACATGTAACTCCAAAAAAATTACACGTGTTGACATCCTTTATCCCCTGGCACTCTGACAGTGCCTCAAGCTACGTGTTTACAAATACTCCCTCCGTAACATTTATATCTTCCCACTTTCCTTTTTTGGATGTAACATTCATATCTTCCCATTTCATAATCTTCCAATCATACCCTCAATAATTTTAAAAATAATACACTATTACACCTACTTTTTTTGGATTTATCCTTCATTCCAACACATTATTTCACTATCTTCCCATCATACCCTCAATAATTTATATCCCGTTTCACTATTCTTAATCTACCTACTTTTCAAATGAGAACATATATATGTTACGGAGGGAGTACTAAATAAGCTACTTAGTGTTACACATGTAACTCCAAAAATAATTACACGTGTTGACATCCTTTATCCCCTAGCACTCTGGCAGTGCCTCAAGCTACGTACTACCCCACATGCATCACTGATTCTTTTTCTAATCTCTTCTCCCAATTTCACATACTCTATCCGTTACTTATTAACTTTGTCAACTTTCTTTTTTTGGATGTCACATTAATTTTGCCACTTTCTCGTTTTAGTAAAGAATTTATGGTTCCAATTAGTTCTCTCTCCTCTGCACAAACCTCAACCACACAGTTTTTACTTTATTAATCTCTGTGCTGGTCAAACTTGGCAAAAGTTATTAGGGACGGAAGGAGTAGCATTTAGCCATCCACTGCGTCCAGCCACAGAACTACACACAAGTCGATGGCACTCCAACCTTTTCATTCATAATAGCTCATTCTTCCTTCTACCGGTGAGATAAAAAGCGGTTCAGTCCCAAAATTAACTTCGGTTTTGACTGGACACTGGATTAAGAAAGTGGAAAATGTGTGGTAGAGAGTTGTGCAGAGGAGAGAGAATTGTGTAAGAGTGGTTGTGAACCACAAATCCTTTACCAAAAAGGGAAAGGGAGATAAATTTGGGACGGACCAAAAAAGGAAAGAATGAAGATAATTCTGGGAGTACTAATGTTATTATTGGCATATGCCGATCTTTAACAATTTTTTGCTTAATGACCACACTCTTAACTAAATAATATGGAGTAAGAGCATCTTCAATGGTACAATGTGCACGGTGCACACGTGACATGAGAGATGATCACATAAATATTAGTAAATAAATTATTTCTCTCTTTATTTGAATGATTTTATACAGTTTTGATAAGTTTTTCTCCACAATGTCAAGGAGACCGTCTAATGTTGACATTGCAGGGAAAAACTTACCAAAATTGTATAAAATCATTCAAATAAGGAGAGAAATAATTTATTTGCTAATAATTATGTGGCTATCACTCATGCCACATGTGTACCGTGGACATTATAGCATTGAAAATGTTCTAAGATTATTTCACTTGACTCCCACTTAGTGTTGAACGTGTGATACACAACATATGGGAAAGTCAGACACATCAAAATAATGGACACGACTATCTCGAGAAACACATTTTTGAGAAGCTAAACTATCACTAATTATTGCGGTTATTGAGAAAATGAGAATGACTTAGGAGAGGATTGATTAAAGGACATTAACATCTCACGTAAAGCTATTTTCACCCAATATTCCACCCAAGTACCTGCCACACTTTTTGGTTTTACCATATACTTGTATATAAATATAGGTGTTTGGATATGATTCTCAAAACTGATTCTGCTCTTTCAGAGAGTTGAATCAGAAGTTGGAGTGTTTGAGTGAAATTCCAGAAGCGCTTTTGGAGCTCTAATTTACTCTCAAAATCAGTTTTTTAGAAGCTGGCCTGGGAAGTACCAGATTCTGAAAATTGATTCTAATTCTGTTATTAAAAAAGAAACAGAAGCAAAATCAGTTCCAAACACCCCATAGATGTAGATTCTTGATAGTGTTTGTACCCAAAATATAATATTCTCTCACTATTTTGTTATTGTATATTCCGTATATAAATAAAATGTACTTCATAATATTTATATATAGATAATATATATTTAGATCTAAATTCCATTACCGGTTGAACCCAAAGGTCGCAGCTAGGTCAATGCAATAGATAAACTTTAATTGAGGTCTCGGTTATCTCAAAGCAACACAAATGATTGTGCTTAAAGCCTCAAGGCGACTCAATAGTGTTTTTTAATTTTCAATTTCTAAATTTCTAAATAATACTACATGCCTCGTCACTGTTTTGAATATAACTTTCACGAATAATACTCTGTATACGTGATAACTTAATGCTTGGTAATGTAAAATTGAATATTATAAATATTCTGTATAAAAATATTTCATAAAAATAATAATTACAACTCTAGCCTTCTTGTTTGATCACCTTCATCAATATAAATAAAATTACTCCAGCCTTCTAACAAATAACATACGGAATATATATGTAGACATTCCAGAAATCTTATTTGACCTTCATCATTTCGTGAGAAGGACTATATTGCATGGAAACACGAAAATGATGAGGAAACGGGAAATGGGAAATGCCAACTTTGGCTCAAAACCACTTATTTGAGAGTTTCCAAAGAGTTTTCGGGAGTTTACGAATTAAACGTGAAACATACTCTTTCCAGGGAGTTTGCCATGGTACATAGGAGAAGGATAAACGCATCACTTGTATACGGATTTGGCATATGCGGGCATTAGTGGTCTTACCACAAAAAATTCATGTCAATCCTTTGCCATTTTTTAAAAATCTATGCCGAAATCACTTCCCGTTTTGGATATCCCTCAAAACTCCAAATGTAGAAGGCATCTGCACAAAACACGTGAATTTTGTTTTTTTTTTTGAAAGAACAAAAACTTTAGAACAATCATTCTTGACGCAAGTTAATTGAGTAAAATAAGTACACAAAGACATAATACCGTCATGCTCAAATGCGTGGCCTTTATACACTACTACTCCTTTGATGCATCGGTAGGTGAACTAAAAGGCAGACATTCTAGCCGGCCACATAAATGTGTTGCACCGTTTACGAAATATTTCCTTTGAACTCATGCAACATTTGTGTTTCAGAATTTTCTTTGAACCAAAGCATTAGCTTTAATAAGTCTGGCGCGCCACTCTCTCGTTCAGTTCTCAATAAAGACCTGAAAGCAATACTTTAGTCATTTAATTGTTAATAAAAGCTTATAGCTTTTTGTTTATTTAAATTGTTTTAATTTACTTGCTAAAACATGACTATTCTGGACTTATTTATATAACTTACAGACTATGTGATATTGCATTGCACGGGACAGTGTCCACATGCTAATCAACCTTGCTATAGGTACCCCAATTGGTACCCCCAATTTCTACCTCAACCTATTTTTGTGGCTCACAAAAGCCCACCTCAATAAATGAATTGCCCCACTTTAATGAGATGCTTTTGTGAGCCACAAAAATAGGGTGGGATACAAATTGGGGTACCAATTGGGGTACCTTTACCATTT